CCCCAAAACCCCAAAACCCCTAGTAAAAAAATAATTAAAATCAAAGAGTTAAGGTAATTTTTCTCATACAATAAAAATATAAATAAAAATCTAATATATGATTATATTGCAATTTGCTAGTCTCATTATATTCAACTATTTATACTAAACTTAGATCTTTTTTTCAATCAGATATATATTATTCAAGATCAAGAGCATCAAGGTTATCACTTTAACTGGTCATCAAATCTTCTTTTTAGAAGCAGTTTAACAAAATATCATCATCATCATCATCTTCTACAATTATCTCCTAATGCACTTAGACTTTATTGTCTGATATACAAGGTTTATCTTTTCTTTAGATTACTTGTTCATTATAATTGGATGATAATTATTAAGAAAACAGCTAATCAAATGCATTACTGCTTCTACTACTGCTTTGGCTTTGAGAATGAGTAATTTCCCAGGCTGATTCTTTGATAGATTTTTATGATTATTAAGTAGCTTTCTGCTTTGGACTAATAGCTTAACTCTGTATTTTATTGATATGCTACTCCATTTAAATAAAATGTGCGATCTCGTCTACCACCATCTAAGTGAATCCGCATTCAGTAAATATTTTGACCTCCTTTTTTTAATCTAAAGTAAATTCACATTCCCCATTTTCATCTTCTTCCTCTCCAAAGTATCTTTTATACAACTCAATAAAACTCTCCTCTGTGGTAGGTGTATGCTTGATCACCATTTTTAACATTTCTTGTGAAAATATATTCTCCACTCCTCTTTTTAGATTTGAAGCCTAATGAGCTGATAAATCCTTTTTTTGAATATTATATTGGTATTTTTCAATGGCCTTCTTGATATACTCAAGTCTTTCTTACAGATCTTTAGATTCGTTGCTTAGTTATTTCTAAACTTAAGTGTATTGAGTTTTTTCATATTTCATTGGGCGCTTTTTTATTAACATAAAATTTATTAATTGCAGAATTTGCAAATAATATTTTGAACTACAATCATATTGAAATTTCAGATTCAAGGGGTTTTGGGGTTTTGGGGTTTTGGGG